ATTTTCTTGTTTTCTCATATTTCTTGTGATCCAGGGGTGATTTCTTGTCATCTGATGGATGGTGTGTTTATTTTAAATTCTTTTTTTTTTTTTTGAGATTTTCACTGTAGGGCGCGTGCGCTCGCCAGACAGACAGAGAGAGACATAGAGACAGAAAGCGAGAAATCACCCCCCAGGGGGTATGGTCACGCCGCAATATGTTCAGGAGCAAGAAGACAGAGGTGATCCAGAATCTTTTTTCCATTCTGTTGTGTTCGCACTAGCTTGTTTGCTGGAGGATGAATTATCAGTAGAAAATCTTTATTTCTCATGTTCCCTGAAATACCTTGTTCACAGGAACCCTTTCTATAGTTTTATACACTTCTACATCAACTGTTTGAAAAAAGTGTTAAGTATGTTTTTCTTAAAAATTATATATTTAATTCAGTTATTCTCTTCACTTATTGACTACATCAAGTGTTTCTACCAAGTTGTGAAAACACTTTTCTCTGTAGTTAATTCGTCTTTTAATCATTCATTTTTCTACTTGGAAGTTATTAACTTTTAAATTAATATTAGCTAAAACAATTTTTTGAGATATTAAAAATTGCTCAATTTTTTTCTTACTGTATTATTTTTATGTAATATCTTTAATTCTGTGTCCATTCTCTGGAATTATTCTGGTCTTATTCTCTTAAATTTTGACTTTAACATAAACATTAAAATTTCTAAATTTTCTCCTGAGAGGTTTCTCCTTAGGGTACATTAGTTTGCTGAAGAAAGAGAGAGACACACTCAGAGGGAAAGTGAGAAATTATCCCCAAATACATGGCCATCTGGAAATCTCCTATCCTCTCTTCTCTTCCTGGGATGCTGGGAATGCATGCACACATGTCCAGGTGTGATTTTCAAGTCATCAGTGCCAGGACTCAAAGAGCAGTTGAAAAAAAAGAAAGAGAGAAAGAAAGAAAGAGAGAAAGAAAGGAGAAAGAAAGAAAGAAAGAAAGAAAGAAAGAAAGAGAGAAAGAAAGAGAGAAAGAAAGAGAGAAAGAAAGAGAGAAAGAAAGAGAGAAAGAAAGAGAGAAAGAAAGAGAGAAAGAAAGAGAGAAAGAAAGAGAGAAAGAAAGAGAGAAAGAGAGAAAGAAGAAAGAAAGAAAAGAAAGAAAGAAAAAGAAAGAAAGCTGTTGGTCAAGTGGGAGACCAGTGACATATGTGCTAAACCATCTTCTTGTCCCCTGATTTGTTAAAAAATCATGTGAGACTAGAAATTTTTATGCAAAAAGAACTCTACTTTTTCAAAATTGGTTCTTCTGTCATTTGTTTCTTTTTTCTTTTTTTTTTTTCTATTATACACAATGTGCACTCACCAGGGAAACAGAGAAGAAGAAAATGAGAAATAACCCCATGGGAAACTGTCATGCCACAGGTTTTTTTCTTTTATTCTACATTTGGGATGATGAATAGGCAGGCACATATCTTCCTAGCATGTATTTTAGGCCACTTTATTCAGTACTCAAACCATATAGTCAGCCATAGGAGAAACAGTACGCTTTGATTTAAATATTCAAAAGTTTTCTTTCTTTCTTTTTTTCTTTTTCAGAGAGGCTTTTGCATAAATGCACATGCACTTACCAGAAAAAGAGATTGACATAAAGTGAGAGGGAAAGTGAGAAGTCACCTTTGGGGGGGGGGGAGGATCACACCAAAGTCAGTCATGTGAGAGCCCAGCTACATAACTGCTGTGCCATCTGCTGGTCCCCTGATTTGTTAATAAAGGATGGTACACTGAATACATTTATGCAACCAGAACTCTACTTCTTCTGAGTTGTTATATTTTACTGTTACTTTTTGTTGTTGTTTATAGGCTGTGTGTACTCATCATAGAGAAACACACACAGAGAGGAAGGTAGCGAGAAAAACGAAGTGAGAAATCATCCTCTGGAGGATGGTCATTCCACAATCCCTTTTTCTTTTGCACTTGGTATGGTTGAATAGGCAGGCAAACTTCCACCTGGCATGTTTCTCAGGTCACTTTATTCAGTACTCAAACCATGTAGTCAGCCATATGGAATCTAGCTGACTTAACGTCCATGCTAAGTTATGAGTTTGACTCCACTCTAGGTAGATAGGGGATGGACTCTGCATAACTGAGTTACTGTGGTTTTGATTTCTGTGTCTGGTAAATGTTTACTGTGTCCACATTACAAGTGTCAGAGGAATTTATGACTTCCTGTTGCAGGGCTAAAATCAGAATGAAACCCGTCACTGTGTGTAGCACAGAGTAAGTTTTAAGCTGCTGGGTCTGCAACTCAAATCTCTACCGTATGGGAGTAGAGTTCCTTAACCTCTAGGTCACCTGCTTGCCCCTTGATAAAACTTTAATCAGACTTCAGAGAGTTTGTGCAGTCCTATCTGCACACTTGGATATAATTCACGCAAGTGAATTAGGCCAGAATCTCCATTACCCATAATGTTACCATTTAGTAATTTTCTATCCAATTACTCCCAACTTGCTCTTTAGGTTTAAATTCTTACTTGTCGTCACTATATTCAGTCTTGAAGCTAATATTCCTGAACTACTGCAAAATCTCATAGTCATACTTAGTATATATATTTTTTGAGGCTTTAAAACATATGAAAGATGAACAGGTGGCCTGGTGTTTAAGGCTCTGGATTTTTTTTTTTTTTGAGAGGTTTTCACTGTAGGGCGCGTGCGCTCACCAGACAGACAGAGAGAGACATAGAGACAGAAAGTGAGAAATCACCCCCCAGGGGGGATGGTCACGCCACAATCCCTTCTCCTCCATTCTCCTCTCGGGATCTTGGGCACACACGCACATGCACCCGGCGTGAGTTTCAAGCCACCGGGTCCGGGACACGAACCGCAGTCGACTACGTGGGAGTCCAGCGACATAGCCATTACGCTAACTGCTGGTTCCCAAAGCTCTGGATTTTCACATAGCTGACCATATTATTAGTACCAGGCCTGATAACTTGAAAATGATGCTGACAAGAGAATGGAGATTGTATTGAAGAGTGGCCGTCCTTCCTGATTAATACATTGTGGTGGCCTTTACATACCCATGGCTTCTCTACAGAGCACATTTCTACAATCCCTTAGTCAGTAGTGAACACCCAGAGTCAGCATCTTGATGCTAACATTAACTTTATGTTAGGAGGTCAGTGTCTTAATATGCATGTGGGCCTCACTACACAGGCCTTGGTTGCAAAAGGGCTAAGGTACAAATAATTTCACACATTCTGAGCCTCCTAAAGACTGAATATGGGGATAGTGCTAACAAAGCGGACAATAAGCTGTATTAATTTCTCTCTTCTCTCTTGAAAGAAATGGAGAAGTATTGAAAACAAAAATAAAGATAGTAAGAGGATAACAAGGCAGAAAATCCTGAATTCACAATTCTGTACTTCTCCATTTCTGTGCACACGTGATTATTCTCAAGTGGGATTAATCACACACACATGTATATATGCAAACTACATTATTAAACAGTTATAATCACATTTTCAGATACATATAACCAACAACTTACCAATCATCTCTCACTTCTTGAATTGGCCTTATCAGGTAATTGTGTGCAAGTATATCTTGTTCCCCCACGTCATAAAGAGGGAAAAACTCAGCCAGTACCAGGTCCCCATCCTTGTAGACACTTGGCTTCAAGTATGTATGACAGTTAATATCTACCATCTCACATGCTGTTTGTAAAGGCTGCAGAAGTAGCAAGAGACTAATCAAAGGCAATGACATGTTTGAGCTGTCCCAACACAGGTAAAAAGCCCTATGTGTGGGAGCTGAGGAGATGGAACTGGATGGTGTCTGCAGGCTCAGCTCTCTGTTGGGAGAAGTAACTCTGTGGAGGGCACCAGAGATTCTCACTTACACCATCTGCCTTTAACCTGTCGAAATTATGTGCCAGACTGGCATGACAGACAAGGACATATCTAGAAGCATTAAAAAAGGCATTTCTACAGGAACCATGATGCTGAGACTCATGCCTAATCAGAGCAGTTCTGACTTTATTGGCTTTTTACTGTTTCACTTAAGTCTCATCCAGGAGCTCTGGGGATCTCTCTGCCCCAGGGCTCTGCACCTGTCACCCTTCATTTTGGTGAAAAACAGTTTGGGAAAAACATATTTTGCCTCTTTCTCTCCCCCCAGTTTTTATAATTTTATAATGACCAAGTAAAGTTTTCAGGACCATCCTATCCTGAGACAACAAGCTTTGCAATTTTGTGAACAAGAGAGGTCCAAAGTGCTTGTATCACAAAACTATTATTAATATTCATATTTTTAATGTTGTTAATACCCACAAAACTTTGATCAATGAGTTCCATTGTGATAAAATTGCTAGACTCACATTGCTAACCATGGTTCAAGTCTCTGACCATGTGACTTAAAATTCCTTCCTTTTGAGTGTGCATGGGTGCCCAAAATCTCAGGAAAATTAAGAGATTGTGGGATGATCATTCTCTTTGGGAGGTGATTTCTTGCCGTGTGTCTCTGTCTTTCCAGTGAGCACACACATGCTTTAGCACAAATCAGTTTCTAAAAAAAGCATTTACTGGCCAAATTGGGTGAAGCCATAGATAAGTTTTTGTTTGTTTTTAGAGAGGGAATTTTGCTATAGTTTAAGTGTGCTCATCCAGGACACAGAAAGAGACAGAGAGACAGAAAATAAGAAATCACCACCCCCTGGCTGGATAGTCACATTACAATCCTTTCTCCTCCATTTTGTTCTCAGGATTTTTGGACATACACACACATATTCCCCATGCGTACACTCACCTTCATAACTCTTGTAGAAGTGAATGTATCCTACATGTCATCTTGCTTCAATGTAGGTTTGTAAGCCATGATTAAAGCATTTCATATTTTCCCTATGTCTAGAAGCTCAAAATAGCATCTGGTGGGGTGAGCCGAGGGTATTGTGGCACTAGACTTGGAAGTAGACTGACTACAGTTCAAGTGTCAGCCCTGGTGACTTGCTTTTTCTCTCTCTCTCTGTCTCTGACTGTCTTTGTCTCTCTCTCTCTCTCCTCTCTCTCTCTCTCTCACACACACACACACACACACAAACACACACATTCTAGTGAGTACATGCGCCCTTAGCAAAATCAAAACATAATGACAATAATAAATAAAATGAAATAAATATTTTTTAAAAATAGCATCAGCCTAGCCAACTTTTCAACCATTTGGCACATTTCAGATATTTTATGTGGCTTTTTCTATAGTTTTACACACTACTATATCAACTGTGTGTAAAAAAGTGTTCTTAAATATGTTTTTGTTGAAAATTAATTATTTAATTCAGATCTTCTAGTTAATTATTGACTACATCAAGTCTTTTTACCAGCTTGTAAAAACGTTTTTCTCTGAGATTAATTGGTCTTTATAATTGTTCATTTTCCTCTTGGAAATTCTTAGATTGTAAATTAATATTAGCTAAAACTATATTTTGAAATTTTAAAAATAGCTCACTTTCTTGTTTCTTATTAAATTATTGTTATACAATGTCTTTAATTCTTTCTCCATTCTCTAAGGAATTATTTTGGTCTTAATTTCTTAAATTTCACCTTTAATATAAACATTCATTTTTTTTCCCTGAGAGGTTTTATCCTTAGCATGCATGCACTTGCCAGAGAAAGAAAGAAACACACAGTGAGAGGGTAGAGGATGGTCATGCCATAATCCCTTCTCCTTTATTCTGCACTTGGAATTATTGAACAGAAAGGTATACATCCACTTGGTATGTTTCAGATCACTTTACTCAGTACTCAAATACATAGTCACCCATATGAGAACCAGCTGCCTTAACCTCCATACTGAATTAGGAGTTAGAACACACTCTAAGTAGATAGAGAATGAGCTCCGCATATTGGAGTTACTGTGGCTTTGTTTTTGTGGTCTGGTGAATGTTCACTGTGCCACCATTACAAGTCTCAGAGGTATTTATGATTCCCTGTTGCTGAGCTAAAATCAGAGAAACCAGTAACTGTTTGTAGCATAAACAGCGAGTTTCATTCTACTGGGTCTGCAACTCAGACTGCAACCACGTGGTATAGTACAACACCTTACCCAATATGCCACTTGTTGACACCTGCTTGTTAAAATTTCATCAGACTTCAGAAAGTTCTCCCAGTACTATGTGCACACTGGTATATAATACATGTAAGTGGATTTGTGCAGAATATTTATTAACTGTAATGTTAAGACTTAGCAATTTTCTATTCAATTCCACCCAACTTTCTGTTTCGGTATAAATTCTTACTTGTCCTTGTTATATTCAGAATTGAACCTAATATTCCTGAACTAATTCAAAATCTCATGGCCACACCTGCCATATGTCTTTTGATGATTTATAGGAAGCATTCTTACTCTGATTTAAAATATATGGTGGGACCAGAAGGTGGCATAGTCTTTAAGGCACTGAATTTCCATGTCTGACCACGGTATAAATCTCAGGCCTGGCAGCTTGAAAATTATGCTGGGCACATGTGCATGCATGCTCAAAATCTTGAGAGGAGACTCTAGAAGAGATGGTAGTGTGGCCATTCTTTGTGGTTTATATACCGTGGTGGACTTCAGACACCGATGGCTTCTCTGCAAAGTACAATGATACAATATCCTAGTCAGAAGTGAGCACTCAGATTCAGCACTGTAATCCTAACATTAACTCCATGTCAGGGAGTCAGGGTCTCATTATTCGTGGGGGCCCCACTATACAGGTATTTTTATTTTATTTTATTTTATTTTATTTTATTTTATTTTATTTTCATCTTCATAATCTTCTTTATATTACATTGGATTACATATAACTTTACAGTGTATTACACTGTTTTTTTCAAAAGGGAATGCCATGCATGTCAGTCAGTACAGAGACATTAATCTCCCCACTTCAACATTCAATATCTTTTCTATGTTTTCCCCAA